CCCCAAAACCCCAAAACCCCTTGTTCTTTGATAGTCTCTAAATTTAGTGAAATGATAAATTAATCAGCATTTTAAAAATAGAATTATTAATCTTTAGAATAATCTTAAGTATCAGAGAAAGAATGTACTACTAAGTTGACGAAACAAATGATTACTACAAATCAGGGGGAGTCAAGGTTATAGTTAACGTTGATTAAAAGCTAATTAGAGACACTGTAATTGATTGCCTAGGTTCACTCTATTTGAAGCCAGATGCCTACACTGAAGAGAGATTTTACTATTAGTCAACTCTACAGATCTATCTTGAAGCTCTTGGTATACCTAATTACATGAAAATATCGCCATCTGTTGAAACTTTATTCTTTATTCACAATAAGCATATTATGACTATTCCCTATTAGAATATTCACTTTCATCTCAAAGACAGATAACCCTATTCATTTTATTTTAGAGAACTTGTGGATAGAATTGTAGTTCAAAAAAATGGAGGTCTTTGTTATGAATAGTGTGCATTGATGTATCACGTGTATAAAACAATTGGTTTTGATGTTAAAATATTATTTGCTACAGTAACCAAGGGTCATGAGCACACCTTTAATCCATATGAATTCCAGTCGCATGCATTTCTCATGATCAAAGTAGATGGATAGGAATATTTAGTTGATGGATGGTTTGGCTCTGAGGCACCTTGTTATCCCTTAGCTATTGACTTGGGTAAAGATGAGTAAATCATATAGATAAATAAGTATATCAAATTCTGTTTAGTTAGATATGAAAACTATTATGAGCTTAAGTAATGGTATGGAAACTATTGGGAGCGATAATATGTTTTCTTTAGACCATTAGTTTTCAAAGATATTGTAGAAATTTATGACTAATACTTGAGAAATATTTACTAAGAATACTATAGCCCTATTAGAGACAAGTACATGCTAATCGGAAAATCTAGCTAATATGGTTTTTTCTAGGCTTTTATGATTCCTTCTGCTTATTAATTCGTTGCTTATAATGTCTCATTTATTCATGGAGTGGCTTATTATAAGAAATATGAAAACCTTGAGAAGTTCAAAGATGAAGTGTATTGGGAAAGTGGAATAATTATACCAGATTTCTATTATATTAAAACTGATTCTTAAATAGAAAAATGAAATGAATTTAAGGTGATGAATGAAAAAGACTTTAATAGAGATAACTTTTTATAAAGATTTTGGAATATTCTATGTATGTGTGCGGATTCTACTATAAGTTGGTTTTGAATTTTTAAGCTAATAATAAATTGGTTTTGAAAATAATGGAATAAAGGTAAATATTATTTTCCCAACATTTTTTCCGATTATTATGGATTATGGGGTTTTGGGGTTTTGGGG